ACCGTTTAACATATTAATTTGTGTGAGTAAGACGAATGAAACTGATACCAAGCAGGCATATTTCCGTCTTGCTTTCAAAACAAAACCTGCTTTAATAAAGTTAATTTGTTTTGAAACATGAGCCCCGCTGAAAAAGGCGAAATGGGGTGAATATTGGCTAAGAAGCAAATTTGCAGACCGTGCTTTATGGGCGTAATGCGAAGTTTCCTCTCACTGGATTCCAGGTAGTATCAATTAATCCGGTGATCCGGTGAAATGCCCAAAGAAAGCCAATAAATCCCAATTAGAAAAAAATGCGGTTCTCCATGTATTGGACATGAATTAATCAGCTGATGGATGGATGGATGGATGGTGATCCCTTCAAACAGCCAAAATAAGCTTCGGAAGTCCATTATCGCTTTAAATAGAAGCAGTTTGTTTTCCTATTGTCTCGAAATAGTGCTGCTGTTTAAACACGCACTGAAAAGTGCAGAAGACTGGCATGGATGTTTAGCAATTAGGACAATCGATCGTTGCAAGCACTCTACTTGGAATAATAAGCGAAAAGTTGCCTGACTCAATAGGGCTTAGAGGAAATTGAGTAATTCGCAATTTCCAGGAGAGTGGAGTGAAGCTTTTCTCAAGGTGAACCGTTTGTTTGTGTTTATTTGGTAGCAGCTTGCTGCTAAAAGCATTAACGCAAAATTTAAGTGCCGTGCTAGAGAAAATGGGTTTTATATGCAAACTTGTTCAATAGAAGATCGAATAGTTTTTACTACTCAAAACTTTGAATGTTCCCAATTGAAGTGCGAGTGCACAACAGTAAACATGTGAGAATATTTCAGGAAAACCTTTGTTAAGTTGCAGAAGAAGGAAAGTTAAAAAACGGGTTTTGGTCAAACAGTTTGATGATGATGGTTTCAACGCATTTGGACTGTTTCTTACTTTACTAAAATAGAAAGTTCTAAAGTAACTTTGAATTTTACTCAAAAGCTTTGTAGTTGGACAAAGTGCGACTTTAAATCCGATTTAATTTAAATTTTTGTCCGCGTGTATTTTGCACCCCCCAGGGCTGACTGGTTAATTAGATCAGCGTGAAACAGGGGGCGGACCCCACCAAGCTAGACGAACCCCAACTTTCCATAAATCACTACTTGGGGCACAAATAATCGGGATTACTCCCAAAGGGGGTGAGGTGTGGATGCTGCTGCTTCCTGATCCCTTTCAAACACTCCTGCTGGTTTAGCACGTAAAATTGGGGCCCTGTAAATTCAAATTCAGCCCATAAAAACCCTGAGAATTTATGAACTTTTGATATAAATTGCTATATAAATGATTAGTAATGCTAGTTGACTAAGGCAGGTGCGACCAGTCTGACCGAAATGGAATCAAACGCTTAATTCAAGTTCAATATTCGCGATGTTGATTGTAATGCGAAAATGTGAGTGGAATAATTATTTTAACAACATGAGGAAGTCCCTTTGCTCTTCATTTATTATCAATTATTTCTTGTTATAAACCAAAAACATTTCATTATTCAATCGGCTCTAATCACGAGTTTGGTCGACTAAAATTAACCTCGTAATACGCCCAATTACTAGAAAAAATAGGTTTTTGACCGCTTAATGTCTATCATCAAGAAAGCTGATTGGCTTTGGGCAAAAGCGATCTGACTTCGAGGTGAGAAAATGTGCAAGTTGGAAAAATCCAGTTGCTTACACACAATCGACTGTTGCACTAAAAATATCCCGGATTTTATATTTGCCAGACGATTTTGTATGCAGGCTGTTGACCACGGCTATTTTTGAGCCAGACTTTCTAAGAATAATTTCGAAGAACATTTCGGAAAAATGTTCATTTCAGGCCGCCAATCGGAAAGTAAGCCTTTATTCGGGTGTTTTGCGTTATTCAACAGAGCAAACGCGTGAAAAATGCATGTACTTATGCAAAGTCGGTTGGGACTTGAGGAAATTGAGTCCGAGTGAAGAAGATTTATAAATCCTGATGAGCTTGGGTGTGCATACACGGTAAACATTGAATTTATTCTCTATGGGAACTTTAGAAACCTTCTGCTGTATGTTTTTGCATCAAATGCATGAATTAAATTGTTAACCAAGAACGATTAGACATTTGACTGCGACTTTCTGATAAGGTGCGGAGGAAAAAGTGATTCTGACTAATATTTTCCAGAGGAATTGCCAGAAGTTTGTGTCGTTAAGTACTGGAGGGCTTGAGGATTTTGAAAAATTTTGTGCTTGCAACTACTGATAATCTCACGATAAATTTAGCAGTTCCCCGAAAAACACACTCTTCTCTTGAAGAAGTGTGTTAAATTATGGTTGTACTGACTTAGAGATATTCAAAGTGAGTTGAAATTTCCAGATGAAAGTTTATATTGAAAGTACAATTTTCTTAATTGCATCGGAAGTTTTTCCATTTAATTAAATAAAGTTCCTTGACTGAACGCCGATCAATAAATAAACTCGACTTTTCAAGGATTCGCTCAAAACGCGAATGTCGCTGAATTTTCGTCACCGTCCACGCGCAAAAGCTTCTCTGCATCGTAAAACGATTGTTTTACCACAGACTCGAAGAAATATTGCGATAAATTGTGCACCAGCAACAATCGAAATCATTCATCTAAAACGACTGTCGCCGAATTTCCGAAGATTCTCTTGAGATTTTTGCTGCAAAACCGACGAATAAAAAGAAATGTACGGAACCGCAAGACGTCGTTCGCTACGCTTCAGGTGCCTGCAAGTTTCTTCAGTACGGAAATAAATCGCTCGTTAAATGACAATTAAGCGCCGCCACAATTAGGACAAGTTACGAAAATAATCCGCTTATCTTCTCAAATGAGCACAAAAGGAATACACTACGTAACAGAACGGTTTTTGCTTATAAATCGCAGAAGAAGCAATGGGGGTTTTCGGGTTTTTGGGGACGTTTCGCCAGCATCTTCAGAAGTTTGTCGCGTCGGCGGCGCTCAGGATCAAACAAATTCCTATCGACCACGGCCTAAAAGCCCCAAAATCTCCATTGTTCAAACTTTGGCCACAAAAGCCTTAATAATTTTTCACCCAAATTGAACTGATCCCACTCTTGTTAATTAACCAGAATACCAGCGTCACTCATTCTCATTCAAGTGAACGAAGAAAAGCGTAGCGTTCTTCGGTTCTCTTTGCGATTTTTTACAGATTCGGCTTCTTCTTCGGCGCCGCTTTCATCGCGTAACTGTTTCCGTAACCCGATTCTGACATTGCGATTGAGAAAAAAAATCGTTTATCGGAAGAAGATGTGCTCGAAACGTAAAATGTTTCCACATGTGCAACATGTTTAAAATCCACTTTGTCATCGGGATAAGGGAGTGTGAGAAACAGATGACGATGCTAATGGGTTCTTGTTTATTTACTTTAACGGTTGTTTAACAGCAATAATACATGGCCAAATTCGGGTTTGTTCTATTGTGTAATTTTCTATTTTTGTTTATTCAGAGTTTTAATGGGAAAAAGCTATTATATTTTTTCTTTGATTAATTGCATCGGATTCATATTCGCAATATTCATCAAATAAAGACATTTACACTGGTTATCAACTTGATTTCCACATTTTTTTTTATTTTCCTTTTGAAAATCCGTCCATCGTTAGAAGACACTGGGACTAAAGATTTTTAGATTAGAAAGAAGAAAGTTTTATGAAAATCAGCCGAAATAGCGGACTCAAAATGAACATTTTTATTCAACTGCGCTCACATCAGGTTTCAAACATTTAAAAAAATTCTGTTTGAGTTTAATGTTTTTCATTATTTGGTCCGTTTATGATAAAGTTAAGTTATATTTTTTATTATGTAAACCACAACGGAGAATTCCAGACAAGTCCAAACCTTCCAAAATCTTGCTGATTGCATGCCCAAAACGTAGATTTAAAACAAACCAGTTGTAATACATTTATTGAAAAATCGAGTGAACTTTTAGGAACAATTGGCGCCCTTTTCCTGAAAAACATGCGAGCGTATTTATTTATTGAACCGATAACTTTTTCACCCTCATTTACACCTACTTCTGTAAAAGTCCATATCAATTGGGCCCCACACTTCTGATGTGTTGGCATTTGAACTCAGTTTTATGCCTCAGATTCCTTATCTTTGTATGTCAGGACACTAACAAATCAATAGTTTATTAGGAATAATTGTCAATGAAATTGATGTAAAAATGGTTATTGAAATGTTTCCTTGTTGTTGAAAATGGTTTTTTTGTCACTACAAACTCGTAATTTTTTCATTTTCCTAACAGCAAAAAAAAACAGAAAAACCAGAGTCTTATTAAATAGAAAACAAGGAAGTAGGTTAATTAACTTATTTATCTCTCATTGTATTTGAACTGCCGGTTATTCATAGTACGTGCTACACTTCTACTTAATGGTTAATAAAAAAGTCGAATAAAACTTGTTTGTTTAAATCCCATTAACAACTGTTCCCAGTATGCATAAAATGTCCACCGAAAAGCGCCTCACTGCAACTAAATCTTATCCAAAAAGCCCAATTAGCCCGTTTCTCCATATATTGCCGAAAACACTCAGACTGTTTGAGACACTGCCCCCTTAATAGGGCCGCACGCGCCCCCTTAAACCGAACATTCAAGTTAAAAGGCAATTTCTTCCAGCCCCCCATCGGAATTCTATGTGATTGTTGCTATAAATCTGGAAAGTCGCAAATAAACCCCTAAACTCGCCACTGGATCAGGAGGGTGAATGTGTGTAACAGTTGGAGATAAGTAAGCCCACTTATTCTCGACAGGAACATAAATCGTCGATAATGAAAGCTGCATTTTGGGGTGTTTGCATTGGGGTTGCACTGTGTGTTCGGAACGAGACTGGGGCTTAATAATCTTGAGAAAAATCGAGTATTTGGCGCAATTGCAAGGAAATTATTGATTGACTGATGGGATAATTAACTGGTAGAAGCCCAACAAGTTTCAGTTGCGGGCAAATGTGTGGACTTTCTTTTATATTTTTTCTTTCAGTGCGGAGCACCCGTTTGGGATGAGGCGGAAAAGGGCAGTGATATGGACAGTCCTTGCATTTACCACCTACTTTGCGGCCGCTCAAGATGTGAACCAATACAACGATCCGTACAACAGGTTGGGGAAAAAACTGCTTTTGCTTTGCAAAACCGTTGAAAATATTTGATTTGTTTCAGATATAGTCCAACAGGAACGCCTAACGACCCGCAAAGATCGCCGGCGCCCGACCTCCGGTATGGCGATAAATACAATCCACCTCCAAACCACCTGGAGCCCGTCGATCCCTACAATAAGGACAGAGATTTGTTTAGTACGGACTCCAATAGGGATAGGGATAGAGACCGAAATAATCAGGTGACTGAACAGTTTAACAAATGAAGAGTTTTTCGTTGTCCGATAATTTATAACTTTGTAAGGGATTTTTCTTGGTGTAGTGGACAAATAATTTCTGGAATAAGACAAATTTACTGCTTTCGGCAGGACTTGAACCTGCGACTTCATGACT